AAACAGAAATGAAATGCTAAAAATTAAGCATATCCACACACCTAAACATTGGATTGAGATCCTTTTCCTACATATGTCTCAAAAGCCAAAGATATTCTAAATATAAAGTCCACAATGCTGGGAACCATCCTCTACTACTTGAACTGGAGAGGTCTAAAGCCAAATTCAAGGTCAAGGGTGTCAGCAGCAGCCATGTGATTGATATAGTCAGAATGCAAGTCAGCTACAGCTGTGTTCCTGGTAAGCATCATCTAGAAGGCAAGTAAAGCTACTTTGAAGCAGGCCAAAAAATCAAATTTGCTATAGAACCCTACATTTCTGCAAAGTCCCAGAACCTTCTATTTCACCTTGTGGATGAAGCAGAGAAATGGCACAATAAAATAAATTTTACTCACTCTCTCCTGGTACTCTCAGACTCAAAAGAGTTTACCTTCATTCTGAGAGAAAAATCTACTTCTCCTTTTATGTATATAAGAGGCACCTCCTCTTAGATATCTGTCCTGGATGCCAGTGTCTCTAATAATTTCATAAGCAACCATAAGACTAATCATGCATGCCAAAAGTAGGTCATGATGGCCTTTGAAGGGGATCAGAATTTAACACCCCCAAATATGTCTGTGTGACATAGAGATTAGTTTGAGCTGATTATTTTTAAGAAACAGCAGACACTGGAGAAGCTCTGAAAATTGAATAAAAGTAAAAGTTATCCTTTTGTAAGAGACATTTATAAGGGAATCTCCATTTGTAAGACTGTCTCTCTCTGTACCAGGAAGAAGAGGTGATTCTAAATCTCTAGAAACTCTCACCTTACTTTACTGTGCTTTACCTGGTCACCTCCCATAACTGGATCCTCCCACCCCCAACATCTTCTGTCTTTAGCTGGAGATGGTATTTAAGATGGTAGCTTGGGCCATTTCAGGGAGTTACTCAGTTTTCCTGGGTCTCCCATGTACACAGGAGGTATCCATGTTATTAAACTTCTGTTTGTTTTTCTCCCATTAACCTGCCTTTGATTACAGGGGGTCTCAGCCAAGAATCAAGAATGGTAGAAGGAAAATGATTTTTCCTCCCCCATACCCATGAAACAGAGTTTAGCAGCAAATACACCTAAAGGAGGCTCCTGGTTTCCAAATTATTTACTTTTTTAGCTAGAAGGGCCAGAATGGCCATTACCCACTGTAAGTCATTGTTACTTGCTCAAGTTTAAGTGATTCCCTAGGCTACCTGGTGTTTGCTGCCTGGTGATTCTATTACCTTGGTCTTTTTCTTTAATAAGACTTCTCACCATCATCCCAAATGCTGGCTCTTCAGGCTATTTTTCTCCAGAAAACTGATTGCAGGCCATAAAGATGTTCAGTAGCAATTAGGTTTTATTGTTCTCATCTCAGTTATGAGTATAGAAGCTTTCAAAATGTAAAACACACATATCCTCTGACTTAGCAATTCATCCCATAGATCCATAGAAGTGTGCATGTGTGGGTACAAGGACGTATGAATATGGATACTAATTTGCAGCATGATTTAAAGTAGCAAAATAACTGACACAACCTAAATATTCATCAGTATGAGACGGGCTGAACAAAGAATGACGCGGACAGCAGGGCAAGCATGTAGAAGATCCCTGTGTGCTGGTGTGATCAGTCCAAAAGCCCGAGGAAACAGTATCTCAAGCATGCCAGCATATGTATTTGTTAAAAAGGAAACATATCCGTGTATGTGTGTGGGTATGTGGGTGAACGCACGCACATACACAACCAGTAAAGGACGGTCATCAAAGAATGCTGCCAAAGCTATGAAACAGTGGCACCTACTGGTAAAATCATTTCCTATCCCAAACTATGACCTTAAAAAAGAAAACCCATGACTTGCCTATACAGCCATTTCAGCCATTAGGCAGGAAATATGTTTACATTAAAGCCTCATAAGGAACTCTCGAAAGTTATGGTTCATTGTGGTCTGAACTGCAAGCTATAAAAGGAGTAAAGAGTATTTCTATATCCTTTCATGGAGTGGTCTCCAGAATATAGTGTTAAGTGAAAAAACAAGGCAGAAAAAAAATGTGCAGGGTATGCTACCACTTATCGAAGAAGGGGAGGGGAATTACAAGTAGATATACAGGTTTACTTATATTTTTAAAATGAAAAGCTAACCCCCCAAAAAATAAGAATTAATGGCTGCCATAAGCGAAGGGAGGGAATAGGCTGGAGGGAAGAGAAATATAAGTGGACTTCTCTAAATCAATGGTTCTCAGTGGGGGCTATTCTGCCTGTGCCCCCAGAGGATGTTTGGTGTGAATTTTTTTTAGTGTCACAGCTGAGGGGGTTGAGATTTGTACTATTAACATTTAGTAGGTAGCAGCCAAGGAGGCTCCTGAACATATTACAGTGCACAGGACAATCCCCACCGCAAACAATTACCCAGTCCAAAACGTCAGAAGTGCAAATTTTGTATCTAATAAGAAACTTGTATCTAGAATATGTAATGAACAGTTATAGTTTAATAATAAAAGGACAAATAACCTTATTTGAAAATGGACGATGGGTCTGAATACTTCTCCAAAGATGATACACAAGTGGTCAGCGAGCACATGAAAAGATGCTCAATATCCTAAGCCATCAAGAAAAAGCAAATCAGCCTGGCCAGGTGAGGCTCAGCAGTTAGCATCGACCTAGGATCCAGGAGATCGGGGTTCGATTCCCGGTCAGGGCACATGCCCGGGTTATGGGCCCCATCCCCAGTCAGGGGCATGCAGGAGGCAGCTGATCAATGACTCTCTCATCACTGATGTTTCAACTCTCTCCCTCTCCTGCTCCCTTCCTCTCTCTGAAATGAATAAAGATATAGATAAAAAAAGAAAAAAATCAAATCAAAGACACAATGAGATACAACTTTATGTTCACTGGGATGGCTATAATCAAAAAGACAGACAATAACAAGTGTTAAGGATACACAGAAATTGAAGCCCTCATAACTGCTGGTGGGAACGTAAACATTGCAACCACTTTTGAAAACAGTCTGGTAATTCCTCAAAAGGTTAAACATACAGTCACATATAATCCATAACTCCACTCCTAGGTGTATATATCCACGTGAAATGAAAACATGTTCACACAACAACTTGTACGCAATGTTCATAGCAGCATTATTCACAACAGTAAAAAATGGAAACAATCCAAATGTCCATCAATGGAGGATTTTATTAATAAAATGTGGTATGTCCATATCATGGAATATTATTCAGCAATAAAAAGAAACGATGTACTGATAAATGCTATAACATAGATGGAGGCATCGTTATGCTAAGTGAAAAAAGTCAATCACAAAAGGCCACATATTCTATGATTCTATTTATATGAAATGCCCACAATAGGCAAACCCATAGAGACAGAAAACATATTAATGGTTGTCTAGGGCTGGAGTGGGGTGGGAGTAGGAGGCTTGGGAGTGTCAGCTATGGGGTGTGGAATTTCTTTCAGGGTAATGAAAATGGTTCAAAATCTATTGTGATGATGGTTGCACAAATCTGTGAATATGCTAAAAGCCACTGAATTACACACTTCAAATGGCTAAATTTTATAAAATGTGAATTATATTTCAAAACTGTTTTTAAAAATCCATTACAATGGTGAGGTGTGCACTCTGATAGAGGTGGACACAAGGTACCGTAGGGGTTCAGAATGAGTTACCCAGATATGCCTCTGTGGTATGCAGATTGTTTTGATCTAAAGGCAACTGAGATCCTGCGGGCTCAAGAGAAACTTCTGCCCTCGCCACCTTAACTACTTGGAAGAATCTGAATTAGTGGCCTTGCCCATAAGAGATTATTGGAGACAATCTTTTTTTTTTTTTTTTTTACCTATCTATAAGACAGAGCAAACTACTAATTACTGAACATCTGATCTTCACTTCGTCCTGAGAATAACCGACCTCTCCTCTGAAGCCATAAGGTGCTTTACTTCATCCTTAGCTCAGGATGCCACATAGATCTCATTTTCCTTTTTGTCTCTGAACCTCTCATGCATGTCGGTATTCTTACTGTCTCATGTACGTGGGGTTCCCATACATACATATGTAATTAAATTTCATTATTTTCTCTTGTTACTCTGTCTCATGTTGACTTAATTGTTAGACCAGCCGAAAAAATTTAAAGGGTAGAGGAAAACTTCTTCCTCCCCCACAGCACAGAAGGCAGAGCTGGGAAAGAAAGGTCAGGAAAGGCTTCCCAGGATGAATAGGAAGTTGTCAGTCATCGGATATGGTTTATTTTTTTTAAATGAAATTCTTCACTGGTTTCATTGAGATTCTAGGGGGAGGGAAGGCTGCAGGAGGGGAACATCTCGGGCGTAGGGAATCTCAAGATACATCTAAAAAAACTTGTTCAGTCTGTCCAAACATAAACCCCAAGTGTGGGAGAGACAGGGATGTCATGGGTTGAATTAGCAAAGCGGCAGGTGACAGAACACAACAGCCTTCACTCCCAGCCAAGAACGTTGAACTGAATATTTTATGGGAAAAGGAATTAGTGGAAAATGAGGAGCAGTGGAAGAACAGCTGTCACTTTTGTTTTAGAAAGACAGATGACCGCCAGTGTGGAAACTAGACAGACGGGGATGAGTCTAGGGACAGGCCAGCCCATTTATTTATATTAGCTGTTATAAATTGTTGTCACAGTCAATTTAATCCTTTCCTAAACATTAAGCTTGAACTGCTGCAGAGAGAAATCAGTCCAGGACTGTGTCTTTCTTCAAGACATAGCTGACAAAGATGGACTATTGAAAACAAAGCAGCTGGGTGTAAAAAAAAATAATAAAATCATATATAATTTTAAATACCCTGATAGTATAATAAAAAATAACAGTAATAATAACAATATCACGTATAATTTTAAATGTCCTGATAGTGTAATGAAAAAATAATAATAATAGCCCCTTATGAGTTTAGGCAAGAGCCAGAAACAAAATGACAATGACCCAACCCAGAAAGATAAACAAGCCACTTACCACAGGAACACGGGCAGTTGGCTCAAATTCTGTAGAATCGGCATCTGAAGATTAAGAAGTGAATTTTAATAATTCACCAATATTGCTGAAAAATATTTTAAGTAAAAAGAATTTTTAAAAATAAAAGGTTAGTAGATAAATCTCAGACTTACCTTTCAAGTTAAGGCAATTCCTTGCAAACTCTATCACTGCTAGCTGCATCCCAAGGCAAACTCCTATTTTAAAAAGCACATATATAAAGCAAATGAGCATTTTTTTGTATTTCTTCCTATTTTCTGTTCATTCGTTTGCTGTCTGTCTCCTCCATCTGAGTGCAGGCTCTCAGAGAGCAAGACTCTGCCTGTTGGGTTCACTGCTGTGCCCTGTGCACTCAGAACATCTGTGGCAGAGGCAGGGAAGGGGGTTAGACGACTTGAACTTGAGGAGGAGAGAATTCAAGGTCAGAAAAGGGCAACAAAGGATCGGGCAAGTTCCAAAAGGCAAACCTCCCTCCCTCCAAATTTGTCTCTAAATCAAAGCACATGTGTGGGCTACAGGGCTGTCCCAGAGCATCTGAGAGCTTCAGCGAATATCTACCACCACCCAATGAAGAGGGGGACTCCACGCTCCCCCTTCTCCGTTGCACAGCCTTAATTATGGGCCCGCCTGGGGCAGCCTCAGGCTGGCCAGCGGGCTGCCATCTGAGGGACACCAACAGGGGCAGGGGAACCCAGAACAGCCCTGTGATCTCACTGTAGGAAAATGGCACCTCCACTGTGGGCTTGAGCACGGGGGAGAGAAAGGCAGGGAGATGCAAATGGAACTGGACAGAGACTTCAATAAGGAGGAACCAGGCCCATTGTCACAGGGACGCGCCCTTCACCCATTTCCACATTCGCTCAGGCCCACCAATTTCCCTCCACTAACCAAATGCCAGAGAGCACTCCAGATGCCCTTAGAGACATACCCAGGGTACACAGGAGATTCCGAGAGCAATCATATGCCAAGCAGGCCAGAACAAAAGCCGGTGAGCATGAGAGAGCTGAGAGAAAGTTCCATATGGCTAGGACACGGAGAGGCGCTGTGCTAAAGAGAAAGCTAACGCGCTGAGGACTGTTCTATACAGTGATAATTAACTGAAGAACACTAACCACCTTCAGACAGAAACCAAACAAGATTACTTCAAAAGAAAACAACGGCCCAGAAGAGCTTAGAAGGGTAAAACAAAACAAAACAAGGTATCAAGGCAACTAACTACCCCTGGCTTCCCGTTTGAAAATGGGTCCCAGTGGAGAGCTTCTAGGAGCTAATCAAAGAACAGGCAATGGGGAAAATGACTAGTCTGCTGACAGTAAAAGGTACCCAAGCCTGTCCGCTTGGTCTGCAAACCCACCAATACCTCCAAGCACAGTGTGAAACACAGCCTCTCCCCACTCCCTCTCCTGCCCCTGCAGGGCTGTCTTTATCCCATCAAGGATCCATTTCGTCTGGTTTCACTGGCACAGAGCCATGCTTTGCAATTTGAACAAAAGCATTAAAAAGACCCAGCTCTACCAAATTTTAACACAGCTGTTCCTGTAACATTGGATGGTCTTTCTGTATTACCTTTTCAAGAAGGAGCATATAAATTTCAACTTCAACATTTTTTATCCTGATTAGAAGAATATTGTGGAGTTCTGTTTAATGGTTCTCCACTTTAATTGGTGAAAAGCTAGATTTGGGTGGGAATTAGAGAAGGTCCGGGCAAGTGTAGACAGCAACTTCTCCTAGCCTCTTGCTACCTACCAACCAGAGCAATGATAAGTTCTCCAAACTCTTTCCATTTACTACGGCCAAATAGTAAATATTTTAGGCTTTGCAGGCTCAAACACAGACATCGTACCACAGAAGTTGCCATAAACAATATATAATCAAATTGGTGTGTCTATATGCTGATGAAAGTTTATTTACCAAACCAGGCCATGAGCCAGGTATAGTCTTCAGGATATAGTTTGCTGACCCCTGTAGCAGACTATTTGGTGCCTGAATACTCAAATCTGAGTTCACACCTTTCACATTAACAAACCCTAGTACGTGTTACCCCTACTAGGTGTCAAAAATCAAATAAACTCATAGTTAGGATCCATAAACATGAGCTTTACCCAGAAAAGGAATCTTCTTTGCCCTTGCCCAAGAAATCGCCTGGAGTTTTCCCAATGTTCCTCTGATTCCAAAGCCTCCTGGCACCAGAACACCACTGCAACCAACACAAGATGAGAGTGAATTTGACATTATTTTTATTTTTGAAATTCTTATTTTCAGCCTTTCATGCTTCCTGATCCCCAATCCAACACCAGAATATATGCTTGAGGTCTGTATTCAGAATTGATTACATATCTGACATCTTGAACTTTCTTCTTGAAACCTTCCCACTGTATGAAGAAGTTGCAACAATTTCCCACAGCTGACCTCAATATATATTTTTCTGAGAGCATAGTGACTAAGAAACTCAATTCAATTTAAAATGCCACTGAATTATCTCAATAAAAATAGGTTAAGGCTTTTTTAAAAAGCACTATTAGAAAAATGTTAAGCTCTCTTACATAATCAGAAAGAGTTCCTCTGATAAAATCAGCCTAAGATTTCAATTGCTAATTAAGTAGAGCACATAAAAATTTCCTTGTTAGAAGACACTTTAGAGACCTTCTAGACAAACACTCATTTGAAAAGATAAGAGATCAAGAGAAAAACCAGGAGGGTCATGCTACCCCCAAGAGTTCTATCACTTATAAGATAAAAATGATAATAAAATGATGTGGAAAAGAAAATATAACCAAGAGAGAAGGGTTATCGTCCTTGCACTTTAACTTTGTGTAAGATCTATCTCTGCATCTTTCAGTACAATCAACACTTTCTCTCTAATACAGGACCCCCATTCTCTCCAAAATAAAACCAGTTCCACTGCACATGCTGCTAACATTAACATGACACATTACAAAGTAAATGTGGTGTGAATGTGGCACAACCACCCATAATGACCACACGTACTCCAGGCTACCTATCAAAATGCAAAATTTAATAATTGGGGTCAATCAAATAATTACAGAAAAAGCACAGTGGCAATTCTCCTAACTGGTGTGAACGGTCCCCAGAACTCACTCAGCTTTGCAAAGCTTCTGCCACGCTTCATGGAATTTCACAGGGTCCTCAGTTTCGGTGGTATGCTCCAGATCAATGGAGTCTATGTACTAAAAATATCCAACAGTTTAAATGCACATTTAAGAAAAAGAAATACTCAGAAATATGAGAACACTATGACAGAATTATTCAATAACTACTTATTATGCCCTAGCCGGTTTGGCTCAGTGGTTAGAGCATCGGCCCATGGACTGAAGGGTCGTGGGTTCGATTCCCGCTCAAGGGCACATACCTGTGTTGCAGGTCCGATCCCCAGCCCTGGTTGGGGCATGTATCGGAGTCAACCAATCGATGTGTCTCTCTCACATCGATGTTTCTCTCTCTCTCTCTTCCACTCTCTCTAAAAAAATCAATGGAAAAAATATCCTTGGGTGAAGATTAACAACAACAAAAATAATAACTACTTGTTATGCAAACACTGCACTGGACACTTGGGATAGAAAAGAATGATCTCTGTCTTGGAGCTCTTACAGTCTTTCGGGAAGATTATAAAACCAGATAAACAGGCAGCAACAATAGTGGGGTAAAGGCCACAATGAGCGATGAAGAGAATGTTGCAGAAGTAACCAGGAGCGACACCTAATCTAGACCTGGACCCTGAAGGGAAGAAGGGAGGCAGCATCATCAGGGGAGACTACTGGGGAGGTGATGTCCAGAAAACTAAGCCCTCAGGGGTAAGCGGAAGCAAGATGAGCGTGTGCGCATGTTGGGGGGCAGGGGGAAGGTATGCAGAAGACAAAAGGGAGGAAGGTGGGGGAACAAAGAAACAGTGTATGATACCTCAGAGGAGGAGAGAAAGTGCTGGCCACTCTGGGGCCCTCAAAAGAAGCTCCACCAGCCACAGAAGTTTACACTTGAAGCCACGGAAAGGTGTTAAGGGGACAACAGGACCAGGGAGAACAGAGATTTTAGAATTATCATTCTGGGACAATGTGGGAAATGGAGGGAGGACTGGAAAGCAGCGGGGAAGTCACTGCAGTAGGCCCAGCAACGCAAACACAGCAACAGACTGGACTTAAAAAGAATCTGCCAGGCCCTTGACTCAAATAGTACTGAGCAGAAGCTATTATCAATGAGTTCTATTAAGTGAAAACTCATGTACAACAATTCATATGTACATAACAGTCCCCATATATCTATATTATTTTAGTATTTCTTTTGTAAAAAGTACTATCTGACTGTATCTTAAGATACAAAATTTTAAAGGCTTAACAAAGTTTGCATCATAACAATTTTCCTATTGCTGCTTTCTTTTTTCTACGATGGGATGGAGGACTTGGAGGAGTGGGAAGAACAGGAAGTGAAACATTCCTTGGAAAGCCAAAAATAAAAAGGGATTAGAAAAGAAGGAGGCTACATGAGGTGAGAGAAAAGTCATAGGTCCTATGCTGGTGTCCAAATGGAAGTTACTAAATTTCTTGAATATATAAATATATTTTTTGCTCCTTATATAAAAGTTTTACCATTTAAATCACAATAATAAGGGTTGCTTGAACCATGATATACCCATGTAGAATATCATTAAATATAAGCATTTATATATAGAGAGAGAAAAGTCTAGAAAGATATGCATCAAACTGGGAATGACAGGTACAAGAGAAAAGTGGGATATCAGGGAAGAGGGATCTTCCGCTTTCTGCATTTTACATGATACTTTTGAAATTTTTCTACACTAAGCAGGTGCTTCTATAGCTCACAAACACAAAGAATATACTCAAGCTATATATGATAACTCCACCTCTGCTATCCCATAATACTGATTTTAAAAAACAAATAATCACCATTTGCCAGATATCACTCCTCCAAGTTAGAAAAGGCAATATAGCATTTTTTAAATCTGGACTCAATTTCAATGCTAAAGGGGGAAGAAGTTCTCGTATTTTCTTGTTAGGCAAACACAATGTACTTAAATGAGTATGAAGTATATATGGTCCTGGACGTGCAAAGCCTAATTTCAGAAACTGTGCCTTAAACCTGTATTCTGAACAAAGTTAGCACGGCTATCGGTGGAAAGGCCTAATTACAAGGTTGGCCCTTGGCTGACATCTGGAAACTTGGACTTGGGGATCCTTCAACACAATCTACCTCGCTGAAATACAAGCTATCAGGGTAAGTGACTGAAATATCCAGACGACCAGGCGGGACTCACCATCAGATTCAACTTGTGGTTGATGGCCAAGGCTGAATGTTCCAGGGCTTTGAACACAGAAGCATAGCAGTCCCTCAGCTTGGTGTATTTGCCAACCAGGGCTATGGAGCACGTTTTCTGCAACCTTTCATACCTGGGAGGGAAAACAAGCATGTAACATAACATCACAAACATAATGACAGCCACTGTTCTTATCCCAAAGCACTTGTCATATATACTAGTAGTCCTTTTTCTTCTGAGTGTATCTTACCTCCATTCCCCTTTGCAAATTCAGACCTTTACCTCTTCCCCTTTTATGTCTTTGTTGTCACAAAGTATCCCCATTTATGCATGAGTTCATTTCCGAATTGCAGTAGCTATTGTCTTCTCTCTTTTCAAATGTTTTTACCTCCTCTAACCTTTCTGTGATATTTAAAACATATGGAACACTTCACAAATTCGAGTGTCATCCTTGCGCAGGGGCCATGCTAATCTCTGTATCACTCCAACTTTTTAGTATATGTGCTGCCAAAGCGAGCACCCAAGGCACTTTTCAAAACCTTAGGAGCAGACAAGCCTTGAACTTGATGTACTTATTCAAATCTCCACCCCACCCCCAAAGAACTCAAACCTGTATGCAGACAGATTTCAAAATCAATAGAAATCCCAACGTTGGTTTGCATCAGCAAGCACAGATATAAGTCAGAGAAAAAGTTAAAAGCATTAAAAATATAAAAAGGCTGTCCCCATCTCATAAACATGAGCTGTCCTTAAATTCATTTATAGGTGACATTGTATTAAAAAAAAATGCATTCTGAGTGTCAATAGGAAACATTCCAATGTTAACTTTGTAAGGTGACATTATATAAGAAAAAGCATTAAAAGTGCCTGCATTAAAAATTGCTGCACCTATATAATTTTATTAACCAATGTCACCCCAATAAATTCCATAAAATTTTTTTTTAAATTGCTACATTCCCAGCTGGCTCACAAAAGCCAGGTTATTCATGGCATGCCTGAAAAATGGTGCTAAGAGAACTATTTAAAATGTTACAAGGGGTTTAGATCAATTTTATGAGAAAATCCCATTCTACATAAGACGCTCAATCACATTTCATCATTAGAGACACAATCTTTACTGATGCTTTTGTCAGGAACTCTGTTCAAAGAATATGAGAAATGTCTGGCCTGATACTAAGTATGTGGAAATGTCATCTTGGGACTGAAGATATTTTAGGGCTTGGAAGCAAACCCTTTCCCCAACACCTTAGAACAAAAATGTCACCGTGAGGAGGAATATTCCTCATTCAGATCAACATCTGCAAGGAGTACAAGAGCAACATGATAGCAAACAGGCTAGGAGGAAAAAAATGCACATGAAGCAAAGAAGTCAAAACTGGCAGTAAAGGTGACTTTCTAGGAAGGTGACTAAAGCACCTGAGGGAAGGATGCTAAACTTTCCACTTGCTACCTCATTTTATGTTGCTCTGGAGATTGCATAGCTGTCTGCTCCATCCCAGCTCTACATAAAGGCCGCAGGAAACGAAGCAAGTTGGTATCAAGCCAAGATTCCGAGACACAGCAGAGGTAAGTGCTTCCTGCCCCAATGTTTGGCCCATGGGAACTGGGGATCACAGCCACATTTGAGCACAGCAGCTTGGCTGAGCCCTAACCCCCATTCTCACTCCCACACTGAAGGAGGGAAGCAGAACTGGAGTTAACACCGCCAGTTCCTCCTTGCTCACTCACGCCTGGTCCTCCCAGGGAAAGAGGAGCCTGGTGGGATAGGTAAGTCCACTGGGTCACACCAGCCAGGGAGGAGGGCCATTGTCCAGGGAGATATCCTGAGCCCACCCTTCTGGTGCCCTTTCCCTCTCGGACCTGCAAGCCAGGCTCACAGAGCACTGCCCAGACCAGCAGAGCCTCTACCTCATGGTCTTTCAACCATCACCTGGGTGTGAGAGGCAGGCTGATGACACTGCTATGAGCTGCTGGTAGGAAAGCAGACCTGGGATCCACTCCACAGGCTCATCCCCCACAAGCAAGTCCCCTTACTTGACTGAGAGGCAAGGTTGTCCCCCACTATGGCCTCCGGTCCGACGTGAACTCTCCCTGATTGTTCAATGAGGAACCCTTGGCCTCTGAGCAACACTGAACCTCCATGATCAAAGCTGCCCTTTGACCTCTGTTTGCCTCCCTGTATTTCCTTACAGGCTGTACTGAGGGGACAGGGGCTAAAGAATGAACACTCCAAACGGCCATTTCCGATAAACCAACATCACCCGCCAATATGATGCAGAGGGATCGGTGCTCAATGTCCCCCCAGAACCTGTGAATGTGATCGTATTTGGGAAACGGGTCTTTGCAGATACAGTTAAGGATCTCAAGATGAGATCATCCTAGATTAGGATGGGCCCTAAATCCAAAGATAAGAATCCTTATAAAAGAAGAGAAGAGTGGAAGACACAGAGAAGTCATGTGAGGAGAGGCAGAGATTGGAGTGATGTGGCCACAAGCCAAGGAGCACCAGACTGCTGGCAGCCCCCAAAAGCTAGAAGAGACACATGGAACAGATTCTCCCCCTGAGCCTCCAGAAGGAACCAAAGCTGCTGATACCTTGATTTTGAACTTCTGAATTCCACAATTGTGAGAGAATAAATTTCTGCTGTTTTAAGTCACCCAGTGTGTAGTACTTTGTAGCAGTAGCCACAGGAAGCTAATACAAAAACCAAACACTGGCATTAAAAAGCACAGAGGCATAGAGTATAATTTAGAGCTATTTCCAATAAAGAGTTAAAATATTAAAATGTCTCGTGCTTAAAAAGGATCAACTCCAAGCTACTCTGAAAATTCCTACTAAGTGGCTGATTCTTTAAGCATTCTGGAGGCCAGGGGCTTAATTTATCATCATTCATAAGAGTGCCTAAGTTCAGAAACTGCACTTTATTCCTGATTCTACTTGACCCAGAAATTCTAAAACACTTTTTAAATGAAAGTGCAAGGAAATCTCGATCTATAAGTCATCTACCAAGGTCAGTAATTTTGTCACTATCATATCATTTTAATTATTGTTACCAACATGAGTAATCAATACTTAGTGTCTGATTCAATGTTAAGGCCTTACATGTTTTCTCTCATAACTGCCACAATGTGGGTACTAGTATACCCCTGTTATATGTGGCTAGGAGAACAAACCCAGAGAGGTTAAGTAATCTGCTCAAACTCACACAGCTAATGAGAGGAGAAACTGGGGTTTGAATCCATGGTGCTCGATGCCAAAGTCTACTTTTTTTTAAAAAAAAAAAATTTTATTTAGATATAACTGACATGTACTGTTACATGTAACTTACAGGACCAACATAATTCAATGTATGTAGATATTGCTAAATGATCACCACAATAAGTCTAGTAAACATCCGTCACCACATATAGTCACAAATTTTTTTCTTGTGATGAGAACTTTTTATTTTATTTCAGAGAGAGAGAGAGAGAGACATCGATGTGAGAGAAACACTGATTGGTTGCCTCCCACACTTGTCCTACCGGGGACCAAACCCAATACCTGGGTGTGTGCCCTGACCAGGAGTCGAACCCACCACCTTTTGGTGTACGGGACAATGCTCCAACCAACTAAGCCACCCGGGGCTTGTGATGAGAACATTTAAGATGCACTGTCTTAACAACACCAGAGCCTACATTTGGAACTGCTACACCCCCTGCCTCTCCCTCAGCTGCATAAGAAGCCAGGCAGCCAGGACTCTATGGAGTCACACCCTGTCTACATTTAATAAAAGAAAACAGGTGATGGAGATTTAATTTCCATATGACTTCAAACGAGAAAAACCTTGCTGAAATTAATATGGTTGTCTTAAAGTTAAAACCTATCCGGGGTTTTAATAATATTGCTAATAGTTAATAAATGCAGGCTGCAACAATGACAATATAGCCAAAACTTCCCATTCAAAAGGATTTTCTTTAGGAAATTGTTATCCAAATCTTAAACACAAGCAAAACAAAACACACACACAAACAACAACAAAAGACTCATGACCTTTAGAACTATTTAAAATATCCAGAAACTAAGAAATAAACTAATAAATATATCAAAATGCTTTGAAGTCCCCAGAAATCTTCCAAGAATACAGCAAAACATTCTAACAATGTGCTAGAGTTTTAGACATGTCCATACAAAAACATACACATACAGAAAGCGAAATGCAACAGCAACATAGGTATCTTTTAAGGTGTATCTCAGTCTTACCCCCAAACTCAAGAATTATTAAAGATTATATCAGTAATTCCTTTCACATACCTGTCAGCCATATTTCTCCACTTGAAAAGCAAATTACTTGCAGAATCACCAATGGGCAAATCCAACCTCTCTTTAAAATATTTAACAATGCCTTGCTCCTCCAAAAGCACAGGCACTCGGTATGTAGAAGAAACATCATGGATACATATGACCTGGTTGATGATAAAACACCATATTTAAGTGGAATGACCCAAATATGCCACACAAGGAGCTCAAGAATAAGCCAGAACTCAAGAGCCTGGCAGTTCATTTATACTAATAGAAGAAAACCAAGAGCCCGGCCACCTAAACCAGAGGCAGAATTAACACAAGGTTAGTTTGACCAAATTACAAAATGCTTTTGGACCAGACTGATGAATCTCAGAGGGAAGGCTGGGGTGGGGGAGTGGATGGGGAGAGATTAATCAAAGAACTTATATGCATATATGCATAACCTGTGGACACAGACAATAGCGTGGGGAAGGCCTGGGGGGCAGATGCAGGGTCGAGGGGATCAATGGGGGGAAAAGGGGGAGCATCTGTAATACTTTCAACAATAAAGATAAATTAAAAATAAATAAATAAATAAATCTTACAAAATGCTTTGAATTCATTATTCTACACCTGGAACCATGGATGCTGTGATAGAATAAAAAATATATATAGTATATGGTCTTTGTTCTCAGTTCCTGAGAGAACTTCAAAAACCTTTGGAATTTTCTGAGTAACCGGGGTATCTTTGTTATGCTAATGGGGTGGCCCCTAGATGGCTTCAGGATGGGAGTTAGACACCAGAAAAACCAACCAAGTCATTAGAGGGCTGGAACTTTCGGCTAAAGGGAACGTGGGATGGGGAGGGGACGTGGGGTGGGGAGTCCTAGAGATTGAGTTCAGTCATGTGACCAATGATTTAATCATTCTTATGTAATGAAGTCCCAATAACATGACAACTCAGGGGAGCACGCTGGTTGGCGAATACACAGGTGTGCAGGAAGGTGGCTCACCACGACTCCATGGAGATAAGAGCTCTTGCACCCAGGGCTCTCCTACACCTCGCCCTTTGTATCTCTTCATCTTGTTGTACATTTGCACCCTTTGTAATAAAACGGTAATCACAAATATAGCACTTGCCCGAGTTCTGAGTCACTCTAGAGAATTCTCAGACCTGAAGGGGTTGTGGGAAGCCCCAAACTTGTGGTCAGCCAGGCAGAAGTGCAGGGTGACTTGGGGACACTGGAAACATGTGGCTGGTGTCTGAAGGGAGGGCAGTCTTGGAAAGGACTGAGCCCATAAACCTATGGAGTCTGACTCTCATGCTGGGTACTTGGTGTCAGAGTTGAACTGCAGGACCCCAGCTGGCGTCAGAGAATCGGTGTTAAAACGTGGGTGCTTCTTTATATGTCAATATCAAGACACATGGCCCAAGGCACCATCTTCTAAGTCTAGGTTAGAGCAGCAGCATCGAATACATACACCTTGTCTACCAAATGCGAGCATATAGTTTGTTCATTCATTTGCTTCTGTCGCTGCTGCTATAGTTGCTTTCATCCACTCCCTTCTTTTGGGTAAATTTACAAACCCACATGGAACACAGTCAAATTCATTACACCTGATAGAAGAGAATGAATGGCTCCTTTGCCAGGTGGTGTGGTTGTTTGTCATACTTACCCTAACGAGCTGTCACCGCCCTCTCTAGTACATCCAAGAAGCTACTGGCAGGCACTTAAGGATCTGCCACATCCTAAATAAATGCCAAGAAAAGATCTGCCAACAGCATGTGTACAGTCTTCCCAAGTCCATAGCCATCCAGCCAGGGATTCCTACGCTGTGTGGACATCATCGACCTGATACTCAAGACTAGTGTGCCTCACTTCTGCACTCACCAACACAACTGAAAGTGCCGAGATGAGGCTCTGTCACAATTACTACTTAAATTACTAAATCTCTGGACAACCACAACTGCCACAAGTGGAAGGCATAGAGTGTGGAGCCAGAGAGATATTTTTTAAAATGTCAAAGTAATGGGCCACATCCACAGAGACACCTCTGATTCTCCATCCTGTCCTCACTGACCCCAAAGAGAAGAGCTTTAAACGCAAATTCACTGGGAACTATGAAATGGGAGCATTAACTCATATTAGAAAAAAGCGATGTGCTGAAAAATGGCGAATAAACTGGCCTGTGGAGTGATGGGACAGAGCATTCTTCAGGATCTCTAGTTATACAGAAAACAGACTCAATATGGTTGAAAGTTTGGACTAATCTGTTCTCAGAACTGAGAATGAAAAAGGGGCTCTGGAACTCTGACAAGCTCAGTGACAGAAAGTAACCTCATGGGGTGATCTGATCACAGCTTCCTAACAGGGCAGATCAGGGTGGGTAATCACACTTCAGGCCCATTAACTTCCCTAGTGAAAGGTTTATCTTTGCCTTAAGCAGGCCCTGTCCATTATTCTTCTGGGTTAACAAGCCTTTGAAATGCCAGAGTATTCCTTTTTTTGGACTCCTCAAAGGCATAACCACCCACAAGAGAGCACATAATCTTTTAACTACCCGGTAACCCAATCCCCACCTTGTTTTCTCCCGCCTTCATGTAATCTTGCTCACATTCCCTCCTTAATTCCAAATGTGGAAAGCACTGAAAACTGTCCTTCTCCAGAGCATTTGAGATCTTGCTTCCTGGCATTCGTCAGTTTGGCTCAAATAAACTCAGATTTGGATGTTCTTGCGTTGACAGAGCTCTTAGCAACCCAACTCTAAAAGCTGTATTCTCCTTCTATTTAAGAAGCCAGGTTATATTTATTTAATATACACACAAAATACCATTGACCAATAGGAAGGGAACAAAAAAACAATTGAATAAAATCAAAATGGCTTGACAACATACAAACACAGGGCAGCCCTTTAAACCTGCCATCGCATTGTTCAGAGTAGTTCAGACGTACACACTGACCCTGAATCAGGCAGGAGGTTCTTCTTCAGACTGTCCCCCGAGATACAAAAATCTGATCAGATGGTTTTTAGGCTTCAGAAAACTCAGAGCTTATCTGAAGAAAACAAAAGGTTTCTGCTAAACCTCACCCTTTTCCTGAGCACTGGTTATATCACTTTTTAAATTATAGCCAACTCTGATCCCTTGTGCCTGAGCCTTACTGCAAACAAGAGACAGAGATAAGAAAATGAAAGGGGGGGGAAAGCTAACTCTCAGATACCCAGGTGGAGAGTCTGGCAGGACAGAGGACCTGAGCCCAAATCATGGTACAGTTTCTGTAGCGATGAAGTGAACTAAGGCCGCTGATGAATCAGAAGTGATAGCGTGAATGTCATGAATGTCAACGTAACGTGCGCTTTGCGGTGAGTTAAGCTGTAGCCAGCACAAAGGAGAAATCGAAGTTAAAGCAGTCAGTGTCCTGGAAAGACAAGATAAACAGATAAGCAGGCTTGGCTCTCTCTCTAGAGGTCTGACTTTGAGTTAAAAAGCCCACCTGATTTTGTGCCTATAACTTGAGTGACTATGCAAAGAAATATGCACTCTAAGGAATCAGGAGTCTCAAGATTGCTCACTTAAACTTTAAGGCAAGGGAGTCGTGGTTGGACATGAGTTTTCACAAATGCTGTGAAAAGTAATATGATGATTTAAGAGGTGTAAAACATTGGCATCAGCAGAAGTGCCTGCAAGGCAATAAAATCTAAAGAGCAGCACTAACCTGTTCAGGGTTCACGTGACAAAACATGGAAATCTTTTCCTTCACAGCCATTTCGATGGGCTTTGAACTCCGGCAGACGATCTGTCAAAGTTATTCACAGGTCAGCAGGCAGGAATCGGCTATCTACGCTGCCATTTGTTTTCAGAAGGATGCTAGATAAATTTCTTTTTGCTACAACAGACTTGACCAAGTAGGTGCACGTTCATTCTGGGCATTCCACTGGCCTTTTAAAAACTGGCCTGAGCACTAATATAAACAAGTATAATCCAACTCAACACAACTCTACCAGTAAGAACTCGAAATGTGAAGGTGTCTCTCTTAAGTAGAGCCAAGGCTCACAAATGTTACTTTAAAAATGCAAGAACAGAGCTAGACCAGGGTTGGCAAGCTTTTCCTCTAAAGGGCCAGGTGGTAAATATTTTAGGTTTTGCAGGTCATGCAGTCGATTGCAGCACTATAGTGCAAAGGCAGCTATAGACAAATGTAAACAATGGATGGTACCGTGTTCCAATAAAACTTTATTTACAATAAAAAAAGTTTTTAAAATGTATTTATAGGCAACAGGCCTGCGGGCCCTTACTTGCTGACCCCTGATCTAGACTACTGGCAATAACTGCATTTCCTGTTATAAATAAGAGCAGTGATAGCCCATCCTAGCAGAGTCACAGGAAAATCTCAAAGGTCCTACCTCACTCTCAAGGACCCAGGGACCATACAAAATGACAGGACATTGCACTTGCCCAGCTGTCAGTGTGGTCAATCAAAGGGGGGCCTGGAGAAGAACCAATGGCCAATTTAGAACTGTGTGAATTGACACTTGAGGATGAGGGAATACCTTTCCCTGGCTCCCAGATACAAAAAGGTCAATGTCATAGGAGTCACTGGAGAGCTAGAAAGGACTTAGATGATGTTATAGATTCAGAAAAGGAGGTGCTATTCCAAGAAATTTACCCACTCTCTTTAACTCACCAGATCGGGAGACAGGCCCAACCCCCTCAGCGCACGAACACTGTTTTGTGTGGGTTTGGTTTTTTGTTCTCCGGTAGCACTGGGCTGAAAAGAAATGGGTCACTGTTAATATGCTGGACATTTAGCTCTCCTGGATAATGAATGGTTCCCTGGCTAATATATGGAATAAACAGAATATCACAGGAAGACTTATAGAATTTGCTGTCTATGCTTATCTGGAAAGCTTACCTGTGGGACAAGGCTAACATGGATGTTACAGAAATTCTCTCTTTTTGCTTTAAACTGAAATTGTCTGAATGCTTCCACGAATGGCATTCCTTCAATGTCTCCGATGGTGCCACCCAACTGGGAATGGAAAAAAAGAGACACAAGTGATCTTCCATGTTACACGGACTCATAGAAAAAGTCTTAATGAGCTAAGCAGAAGTTTGATGGTTGCAGAAGAATAGAATTTTGTAATTATATTAAAGATCATTGAATTGTACCCTTAAAACAGGTGAGATTTATGATATAGAAATTAAATAAAAATGAAAAGCATTGTACATTTAAAGGGAGATGAAGCAAAGGGAAGAGAAAATGGAGACTAAAAAGTAAAATAAGAAGGGATATGGAGCCCTGGCCTGTTTGGTTCAGTGGTTATCTAACCACTAAAGGGTCCTGAGTTTGATTCCAACCAAGGGCGGCGCGTATCTCGGTTGCCGGCTCATCCCCAGCCCTGGTCGGGGCGCACGCAGGAGGCGATCAATCGCTGTGTCTCTNGGTGTGGTATAGCTTTGTTTAATTCTCTCATGATTTTTATACTACAGATGCCCCCTAGGTCACAGAGCTTCTGTACAATTTGGAAACTCCAGAGGCAAATGGGGCACTTTGGTGGTAGCCGGCAAGGGTTACCAAAGCCATGTAGCTTTGGGCCGGGAGTTCCAGATCCACTTTTTATTTTAAGTCATTTCAACTCTTCAGATAGTAATTTAAAGCAACTCTCATCCCCAGCCTTCCCAAAACAGCAGTATCCCCAAAATGACAAAAATGAAAGTGACAGTTTAAAGTATAGGCCTGCGATTTCAGGTGTGAGCTGACTTGCTCTCTAGAAATCTGTGGGCCAACTATGCCTGTAACCAGAACTCATTTAATGAAGGTTGGCTGTGTGTTTGAGTGATGTGCTGTCATTTTGCCAAAACATTGAGGCCTGTATTTTATGTACATGTCTGTACACACACACACACGATTGCAGAGTTTTCCAAAAAAATTATGCCTCTTAAATTTTAGAGTTTCATGTGCTTTGAATTTATTAGAATACTCAAATCAATCTTAGTGTTTGATGAGACTGGGTCACTGGTGGCTGTCCCCAGACCATTAATCCTAAACCATAATTTGACATCATTCAGCTGATATTAAAACATGACCTGCTTTTCCTAGCCGGTTTGGCTGGGTGGTTAGAGTGTTGGCCTGCGGACTAAAGGGTTCCGGGTTCGATTCTAGCCAAGGGCATGTACCTCGGTTGCAGGCTCCATCCCAGTCAGGGCATATGTGGGAGGCAACCAATTGATGTGTCTCTCTCACATCAATGTTTCTCTCCCTCTCTCTCTCCACCCCCTTCCATTCTCTCTGAAAAGCAATGGAAAAAATATCCTTGGGTGAGGATTGAAAAAAAAGAAGGGATATGGAGGTGGGCAAAAAGGGGGAAATGGGGACAACTGTAATAGTGTCAACAATAAAAATAAAGTAAAAAGGGGAGGGATGGACTGTAACACAGCCAGGTAAACAGGAAAGAGAGCAAGCAGAGCCTCAGGAAGGGAGAAGAAAGCAAGGGAGAGCAGGGCTTTCAGGGTGATCTGATTCCTGTGTTTATAAGACCACTCTGCCTGTCCTGTGGTGATATAGACTAAATTGAGTAAACATGTGAGAGTCATGCTGTCATTGATTCACTGGGATTATACAGACTAGTAAATTCCCATACCTCCACCCCCATTATAAGGCCGTCGGCCCTTCATTTCATCAAGACTGAAAATGTTAAAAAATAAGATGGGAAGCTTTAAGACAAGAAAAGGCAATTCATAAGCAGGCAAGAAGATCCAGAATATAGAGCCACCTGGCTCTGTCTGGTGTGAAACAGTGAGCATTCTCCCCCCCACCCCTCTCTCTCTCTCTCCATAAGTGAATGAACGAACACGAACACACACACACACGTCTGCATGCATCTGAACAGTCTCTTTGTAATGGTGGTACTACTAGAATTAAATCACCACTATTAAAACATGCTGGCCTGCCTGGCCGGCATGGCTCAGAGGTGAGCATCGACCTATGTATGATCCAGGAGATCTCGGTTTGATTCCAGGTCAGGGCACATGCCCGGGTTGCGGGCTCGATCCCCAGTAGGGGGCGTGCAGGAGGCAGCCGATCAATGACTCTCATCATTGCTGTTTCTATCTCTCTCTCTCCCTTCCTCTCTCTGAAATCAATAAAGACATATTTTTTAAAAAAAAACAAAAACATGCAGGCTTTCTGAAACAAGCAGTACCAAAAGTCCTGAGAATATTCCTGATAATATAATCCTTTGATAAATGTTAACTTAATATAAAATGTGCTTCCAATAGTTACTTAAGCATTTTACTTTAGACTGGGATAAAATTCACCTTAACCCATTCATCCTCACCATATTTAAATACTTAAAGACTATCACATGGATTTTAAAATTAATCCCCTAGCATTTGAACACCTATTACATGCTCAACACTATAAATTAGGTGCTGGAAGAATTTCAGACCAGGTGTTCCTGAGGTGCTCAGAATTTAGCGAGGGAAATAAGGCAGAACTGAAGAATAATCTGGAGTAAAATTTAAGCACTAAGGGGAATGATCTGGGTGTCAAGGAGGAAGAGATTACCTGGGCTTTGTAGCCAGCTTTGACATCTCAAATGGATCAATAATTACCCAAACTTACCACGTCCCAAACCGAAGCCTTGATCCGACACCTCTAGACCTGTTTCACTGGGTGCTTCCTCATCTCAGCAAATAGCATCTCCTCCCACTCACTGGTTCAAGCTAGAAGTCTGGAAATCATCCCCAAGTCCCCACTTTTTTCACCCAACACAGTTCAGTGGATCATACCTCCAAAACCTCTTGCAAAGTTCTCCACTTTGCAAAGTGCTGCCATCCTAGACACCAAATCCCATACCATCTTTTGCCAGGATTACTGCAATAATCTAAACCAGGGGATGACAAACCATGGCCTGCTGCCTGTCTTTATATATGAAGTTTTATTGGCACACAGCTATGCCCATTCATTTACATATTGCCTATAGCTGCTTTTGCACTACAATGGCAGACTTGAGTAGCTGTGACAGAGACTCTCCCACTTTCAAAGCTAAACATATTTATTATCTGGCCCTTTACAGAAAGAGCTGGCCAGCCCCCATCTTAATGGCCCGCAGCTTCCACTCTCTCCTGTCCTACAGTCAAACCATTTGTCACAGACCAGCAGAGTGACCTTTAAGAAAACTCAGAATATGTCTCGGCCTTGCTTATACCCTTCAGTAACCCACTGCCTCACTAAAAATAAAACCTAAGCTCCTTAATGTAGCCAACAAGGCCCTACTCAATCTGGCCCTTGCACAGGTCTCTGATCTCATCTCATATTCCCACCTCCCTAGTCCCCCATCCCCACCTCTCACTCTGTGCTTTGGCCTCACTGGCCTCTCAGTTGGGCTCACTCGCCTTCCTGCGCCTTCTTCATCTACATCTATCTCCCTTTTGTTCCTCAGCCCAGGGAGTTGTGTGCCCCTCAGAAAGTCCGACATTGACCACCCACCTAAAGCAGCCACACTCCTGCTGCCTCCTGTCACAGTACCCCATCTGTGCCTTTCCATTATTATATTTGAGTCCATGTTTCCTGCCTCGCTACCCCACTAGGCTGGAAGCCCCAAGAGGGCAGGGACATGCCTGCCACATCGCCAGCACAAGCCTAGCGCACTACATGCAGCACTGGGGGCTTAGGTTTGTTGTCAGGACAGGACAGAGGGTCTTGAAATTCAATATAAGCCCTAGGTAACAGCATTCTAGTACCTGTTTCCATAATTACAGTGGAATCAAACTAAGAAGTCTCAGGATTTCATCGCTACAAAATAAATTCTTCTTTAACTCAGATAGCAAAACATAATTAAAATTCAAGTTTCCTGGGTATGGAACAGATAGAAATATATGATAATTCTGTAAAAGGATGACAATCTTTACTATGAAAATCCAAGAAATATCACATGCAATCAGGAAACTGGCGGGGGGTGACGGGTGTTAAGAGCTTACTAACCACAGTGCAGCAGAATCTAATGGGGGGAAATTGTTTTAGGGAAAAAAGAGGTCTGCATTAAACTAAACCTTAAGGAGACATCTGTTTTTTGATGGGGGTGTTCTGGGAGTCAACAGGAAATCCGGAAAAGGGAGCAAAAACTTTCAACATTATCCGCTTCTGCCCCCACATGGCACACGATGGTACTGCACCCCCTGTCTATTACAGCTCCTCTGGCTCCCGATGATCATGAGCAGAAGCTTTCAGCATTATTACTAGAATAGGCCGAAATTAATTATTGCCCCACACAATAGG